TCCGTTTGTGGCAATCAGATAGAGCGCTCGCAATGGGGACTCTGTCAGGTACGGCGGCTCGCCCTCGATCATCTCAATGGCCATGATGCCTAAACTCCAGATGTCGACCTTGCGGCCATACTCTTTGCGGGTCACAACTTCGGGGGCCATCCAGTACGGGGTACCAACCATGGTGTTCCGCTTGTTCTGCGAGTCGTTGATTTGAGCACAGAAACCGAAATCGGCTAAAGATTGTTAGCATGATTTCAACACAACACAAGGTGAAACTTACTTAGCTTGATGTTACCATCCATTGCCAGCAAGATGTTGTCGGATTTGATATCTCGATGAATAACACCCTTGGAATGCAAATGCTGGAGGCCACTCAGAGTCTAAGTCGAAATTATTAGTATCTCATGGTCTTATCTTCACACGGTATCAATTATCTTGTACTCACCTCTCGGCAAACAGCTGCGATCTGTCCCTCGCTCATAATGTTGAAGGTAACCACGTCTGTCAGACTGCCACCTTCCATGTATTCCATCACAACCCAAAGATCCAGCCCATGTAGGAAGCTCTCTAAGAAATTCACGATATTCTTGTGCTTGCTATCTTTCATGACCAGAATCTCGTTGATAATCAAGTCCTTCTTCGGTTGCAAGTCTAGGTTCATCTGCTTGATGGCAACGCAGTTGTTGTGGGGATGCTCATACGCTGTGTACACACCACCAGAAGCACCTTGGCCGATTTTGTTGAAGTTGTAGTAGATCTGCGTGGGATCGCCCGGGTGGCAGATTGACATCAAGCGTGCCCGAATATCCATAATGCTGCTCTGTCGCTGCTGACGCTGTCTAGGTCTAGCAGCGGGCGGAGCGCGCGTGGTAGGTGACACCCCAGATGAAAGATCTGGTGCCGGAGCAGCAGTTGATGTGGAGATGGCTGGAGGCTGCTGCGCTTGCTGGCGTTGGGTGCGATTCCGTTCCAGAGTCTGCTGGGCGGCGGCCATGACCTGCTCCTGTTGCCGCTGGTACTGTGTTGGGGATGCGATGACATTGGGAATATTGGGAACGCTGGGTGCAGGAGTGCCATTTCGGGAGGTGGAGGGACTGCGGTGGGGCGATACTGGCAATGGCTCGGATTCTGGGATGGTCGGAGTACCGAATGTAGGAGCATAATTCTCTTGGGGAGCTCGCTGCGGGACTCCGTACGAATTCGAGACCGGGGGTTGAGGAGGAGGGCGGGAAGGGGTCATCCCGGTCGGCGGTTTCGGGGGAGCACGATGGGGCACCATGCCGCCCAGTGGAGGAGAAATGACCGGCGTTGCTGCCGGAGGCCCGCGAGGAATTGGTGGAGGCGATCGCGGATTCTCGAAGCTGCTTTCGTGATTTTGCGGGAATCGTGGACTTCCCGGTGGCGATGTTTGCTCTCTTGGGCTGGTGGCTTGCGCGGCTTGAGCAGCTTGCGCATTGTCGAATTTGTGCCAGACTTCGTCATCGCTGTCGCCACGTGTGTTCTTTTCGTAGAATCGCATGATATCCATCATAGTCTGTGGGTGCTCCTCCTGCTCCTTCTTCGAGATACCATTCTCCTGTAGTAGTCGCTGCCATTCTTTGGGAAGACCGGTGAATTGGCCGGTCTGATTGTCGTAGCCGACGTGGGTGACATGGACCGGATTCTCTGGAGCTGAAATCTTCATATTGCGACCGGGTGTACCAAGCATACTGTCCACGAACCTGGAGAAGCTGGCCTTTTTGCTCTGTCTCGTTCGGGGAGCGGCCGGAGGATTGCCATCGTCGGAATACCGTTTGGCGGCGTTTGGAGGCCTTTCGGTTTCACGATGAGCGAAGGGATCCATTCGTTGCGTTAGAGTGGTGAAACTAGCTGACTGGCGAAGGGAGTGGCGTCCGCGGGTATCGGGGCTGGTGTGGTGAGAGCGGAGTCCAGGCTTGTGCTGGGAATGAGGATCGGTCTCGGCGCTGTTCTCGTCCAATGCACTAAGCATGCCCCGCGTTTCGTAAGGGCCGTTCAATTCATCCGAGCTCTGCTCGTTGTAGGAGAAACGGTTGGAACTGCGGGTGCGAGAGCGGGAGGTGAAATTGGAGAAGAAGCCACTTGATTCGTCGTTGGAAGGCGATGGGCCGCCACTGTTCTGATCCAGAGATGACGAGGAAGAACCTGGGAATTGGGCGTTAGATCGCGATCGATTATGCTCGCGACTGCCGCTGGGAGAGGATCGTGGATAGACGGGGGCGGAGGGGGTGCGTTTCAACGATGTGGCGCTTTGGTGACTCCGAAGAATGCGCGAACTGAAGCTAGGGGGGTCCTTCTGGAGTTTGGTAGATGCTCGGCGGAATTTCAATGGGAAGTTGTCCTGATTCATGGTGGGCAGATTTCTGTCTCTACACGAGACAGATTGAAATTGGGCCGAGGAGGGGTATGCAGTTCGGTATTTTTTTTTGGACCAACCAGGTTCACTATCTGAGGGGATTTACGGCCGCGGAGAATAACCGGGTCCCCGAAGGTTTTTTGAAGATGGATGGAATGGAAGATTGGAAGCAAATATGGAGAAGAGAGGAGGTTTGGAGGTTTAGCACGTGGAGTCTCGAGAAAAGGAGTCGGGGTGGCTGGGGGGACAAGTGTTTTAACAGATTTGTATATACTCTTTCTCAGTAAACTTCAAATATTTAATACAAGTTTACTTTTATAGAATCAAAAGGATGTTAAAATATACCAATGTTATAAGAATAGAACTAGTAATAGTCTCAAAACTCTTCCCCGTTTAATGTTCAGATCTCACAGTTAACGGCTATACGAGATCCACTATCTTTAAAATACTAAGGTAACTAAGACATTTTCTTTTTCTTCAATCCAATCGTTACATCTAAGCAAACAGACCTGTAACTCCGTTCAGGCCCCCTTTTGCCCCTGGCAGGAAGCCGGACACGTCCCAAAAAGGTTAAACCACACAGGGTTGGGTGTGATGGAAAGCCAGCACTCGCATCTGCTTGGGCATTGGGCCGTTAAACCCCTTTAGACCCTTGGGCCCTACGTCTCTGGATTACTACTGAGGCTTCGGGACATTTTTCTTCCATGCGCCACCGTTGGTCGTCTTCAATATCTCCCTCGCCGTTTGTTCTCCACAAATATATATTAGTCTGTTTACGCTGTCTCTATATTTCTCCGTTCCCTTCTGTTTTGACTTGGATCGGTATATAGCATATGACTTTGGCGTTTATATCCTAACTAGTTAACTATAACGTGGTGTATTACTAAGCCGCGAAATGGTGGATGTGGTCCGGGCTTTAACCATTTACGGCTGGCCAACTTTCCAAGAGCATTATCTAGACATCTTCGCCTCACTGTTGGTCCAGTCAGGGGCCTGTTATTTAGCCTGAAATTGCACATGGTGTTGGCATGGGATATGTTGGTCCATAACTTCTACGCATTCACATCTCTAGTAGACCGGGTCAAGGGGCAAATCGGCCGAAACTCGGAGTCTATAATTATCAGGAACTAAGACACCACATATCTCACACTCTACAGAAATGATTATTCGGACAATTTCGTGGGATCTCAGCGCGTGTTAGATCTCATATAGAGTTTGGAAGTAAAGTGGATCTATGGCATTACTTATAGAAGCTTCTTTTGGGCTTGAATATAGCTAGATAAAAATGCCCCATCTTGATCAGCATCAGGTGAAATAAGCTGCAGGGACTGCCTCAGCAGCATACGAATACCACCTGAGCAAGATTTGAGTTAGAAGAGCAATGTCAGAGAGGTGGGTGGTAGAATGAGGAGGAAAAGCGGAGAACGGAAGAGGTCGAAGCTGATCTCGAAATCTACAAGTACCCATTTGCGAGGCAACTGTCTTCGTCCAGCCAAGTCCATTCTCAAGTCAGTATGAGCAAGCACCCGCTCACAGCTAACGTGGACATCACTTTGTCTACGGCAAATGGCGGCATCAACCGCGGTACTAACGTCGTCTGGATGGGACACAACGGGTGTGAATGACACTAGCGGGCCAAATGTTCTTGACTCCACCGTACAACACTTCGCGGCTGCTCAGCACCTTCTACTGCAGTCATTTCAATCGTCTCAATGACATTGCTGTCCATGGTACTGAGTCTCTCTGATTTACCAATCCATATTATGCCTGATGCTAAGGGATTCGTTCCAAGACGAAGCTACCTAGCCAGTTTTACTGCTTTGGTCCTGCTACCAAGGAGATGCGTCTTATAGCTGATGGCGGTAGTCGTTCTAATATCATCGCCTTCTCGCCTGATCAAAACGGTGTCTATATTTTTATACCGCAGAGACTAATGGCGATGGCTCCAAGGCAGAACGCCACCAGCTACCATCTAATCCGAGCCAGGTTTGTTTCTTATATCCGATCTCCGTACGAATAAATTTAAGGGAATCGGTAAAGAGTATCATAATACCTAGATAGATTGACCAAGGCGGTCCTGAGATGTAACTGAAGCACCAGGCGATGGGGATTGCTCACAAAGCAACCACTTGTGAGCGTGTGGGTATTCCTTTTGTTTACCCCGACTACTATTCCCCCATACTATTCCTTTCCACCTTCTTCCTCGCCAAGCTCTCCTTCAATTCATCTTTCTATCAAGCTACAGCCCCTCTGCATGACATACACGGCCCAACTGGGCAACTCATCTGCTCAGGTTGTCCCTTCATAGGCGGTAGGCCTGGTCTTGTTCTCACGTCTCCTTCTCTCGTCTCATATTCAGTCCAATCTCTTACGCCTCTACTCGCTTTTTATCTAGACGCTAACGATTCTCCCTGTAACACCCAGCGCGGTGACTTGTCTCTTTCGGCACTTCCTCTTTTCCAAGGTCTCACGTCTGTCTTGTCACACGTCTCCTACAATAATTCGCTCTCTTATTTGTCCATTCTCGCAGCCCTACTCTTTTCACTGGTCTGTTCGTCTTAACTCTTATTCCCTCTATTACATTTCTTTGGCTCTCGCGTTACTCCAGGTGCTTTCCTCTCTGAAAACACACATCATGGTGAACACCAAGTCTCCTCATGTTATTATTGCAGGTGAGGATGCCACAGTCAGCTATTTGTTGTCCTGGGTCCTGTCCGGAGCCAAATTCTGCAGGGCATCGGACCTTGCTGCGTGTCTCCCTCGGTGTTTTAGCGACGTCAAAGAGAATAAGCCAATTGGTCGAAGTAGCCCAGAGCTACTATCCCGTCTTCTGCTCCCATTCGGTACCTCTGTTGTCCTGGAACACATCGAGAGCCTCCAAATCCCTGGCTCTTTCGCCGATAGACAGAGTTGGATGGTAAAACTGCGTGTCCTCATGGATAACAAAGCACATGAAAGGCTGTTGCAGAAGTTGGAATCTTTGCAAGATCAACAGGTATCATTCGAAACTCTCTGTGAGCAAGAGAACGGTAAAGACCCTGTTCACTTTCACTCCGATCCTCGGTAAACGATACTGACATCACGGAAACCTCAAGAAACCGGTACAGATGATTATCTTGTTGCTGACTCCAAACGGACCCTACAATTTGACTACGATATGCGGGATGTGATGATTCGGGGTGACAAAAACGCAATGAAAAAGCATCAAGAAGTCTTTTACGTGACCGGCTCCATTGCCTGGACCGTCCGATCTCCTTACTGGAATGTTGCATTGGCCACCGACGATGAAGGTAATCGATACCTCTCAGATGATGTTCTGGACGAAGTCCTTCCCAAATGGAAACAAATCCTCGCAGGGGAGACGATCCCGACTCTGAAATATGGTGTTGTCGATTCTTTTCGTTTGTGGCTGGCTAGTGAGGAGAAAAAGGCTAGCGATCTCGGCAAACCTTGGCCACAAAGCACACCCATCAATACTCCTGCTTCAGCCCGGAGGTTCAAGTTTGTAACTCCGGAACCCTATTCTGGCCTTCGCACAATGAATACCAGCCGTCTCTCTCCGTTTGGATCCCACTCAAAGGTCACTGCCAATGAGCAAACCGAATTGCTTCAAGAAATACTCACAGAAATCAAAGAATTGAAGACAACAGTGGGCCAAATTCTCGAAAGCAAGCAAGAGCTTGAGATTACAGAAAGTCAAACGCATGGATATTTGCCACAGAGCTATCCTCCTATTCCTCTAGAAATGCAACCCCCGGCACCTCCAGCAATGCAACCAAACTATTTCCTGTCACGTCAATTTGTCGGTCCTCAATATCAGCTCGAGTCAGATTGGCAGCAACGATGGAACTCACAGTATCAAGGCCCGACTACCATGCCAGGCCCTGGACCTAGTGCAGCTCGTGGTCTCTAAGCCTGCCCAAACCAATGAAGGGGCGACATTTACGATTTCGTGGGATGGGTTTGACCAAAAGCCTGAAAGCCGAAATACAGAGATGGTTGGGGGAGTGAGTGTGGGGGAAATATGACATGTGGATGGGCAGGTATGGCTGTGTTTTATGTTGAGGACTTAGGATTACAGCTGTTCCTCGCAGTATCGGATGAACGTGTGTGCCTGTTAGAGTTTTCGAAATGAACACATTTTTACTCTGCTGCTTGTATGCAACATATTATAAGGTGTCTACGCTGTAGTATGTCTGCATGACAGGCCGTCCTGACACATACATTCATGTGAAAATCTGGCGCAGGTTCCGGTCCACCTTGACAGCAATGCAGGTCAATGTCCCAATGTCGGTATATGTAGGACGATGACAACATGAATAGATATCCAGTATGTGCTTACTATTGTCAGGCGGTTTCCTTTTTTTTGGGGGGGGTTTTTTTTTTTGCACAGGTGACTGGCCTAACAAAAAGGACACACTAGTAGGAAACAAAAGTCATTTCCCCTACACCCGTTGCTTGTCGCCACGATTGATATGGATATTATTAGAAGAGCTCAGCCCTGTAGGGGAAGTGCAACGTCAATCTATCAGCCCCATATTCCTGTAGCTCCCGTAAGCCACCCCCAATGACCCCAGTCCGGCACCAGATCACTCACTTTGACCCCAGTCTCCAATATAGCGGTAAGTCCAATGGCTATACACCGAGGCTCAGCCCAGCTGAATGTTCTCGGCACCAATAAGATTGCTTGAAAGAAACGCTACTGAGAGAGCTAACGCAACTACATCATGCGTTAGGCCCCAAGCGGGGTCCAAAGAGGCTCAATAGCACTGGTGGTCACTTGTAGGATGACATAGAATATCGGGTAATTTCAAGGTTGTCCTTGGGCATGCAGAATCGACCATTTCCTGTCCAACCAAGCAAATATGTGTTTTCCTAAGGCACCCGAAGTGATTCACTAGACCGAGTCCTCCCCGCTTTGAAAAGAGTTAACTGCACAGATGACGAATATGCATGATACTCTTTTAATCTTAAATGGTACATGTCCTTGCGCTAATTGTATCTCACATGATTCCTAGATCATTGGCTTAGTATCTTCCGTAATCCACATGGGCGCAGATCATCCACACGGCGTAAACAAGACTCAAGCCACGCAACCTAGTGGGATATGATCTATTCCATTTTCTTTGTCTAGATCTATCAAGAACAGAGAGAATAAAAATTGGAAAATTGACCTGGTATCTTGAAGCAGAATAAATTTCACTAGTGTCTGGATAGGTGCTCTCTCCCTTGCTGATGAGAATGTGGGGACCAGCATACACTTGCAGCGAACAACACACATCTGTTCCGGCTGCCGAGACTGGTGCCGAGAGCTTTAGCTTATAGATTTTTGGATCTGAGGGTCGGTGTACGTATAACTCAGGTGGATATGCAGATCAAATGGAGTAAAACTGCTTGTGACTGCGCCTTGCGCAAAAGAGACATCACAAAGATGGAATCCATACAGGGAGTAAACACAGCAACCCTTTGTTTATGCAGAAAACAGCTGTTTTGATTTATGGGTCCACAGGAGCAAGACTCCTTGGACTTGGGTAATGAGCTCATCCCTTTCGATGCCGACTCCAGTTAGACCGGATTGACTACTGACATACGCCTTACATCGCCCACCTAAGCAAATACGATGTACAGGGGTTAATAGTCCCTGATTGGATGAGCTGTTTATATGCTGAATGCCCAACCTTGGGGAGCTGCGAATGGTGTAGGGCAAATCAACATAAATTGGACGCGATTCCTCCTTCCCAGACTGTTTTTTAAATTCGCATCCAGATTCCCTCGACCTCCTCCCGTTTTCTCTATACATCATGTTTGGGCTCATACCTCTTCTGTTTACTGCGCTCGCCAGTGCATACCCCAACCGGGGTCCTTGCACAGGCGACTGCTGGGCCCACGACCCTGCCATGATCCAGCGTGTGTCTGATGGGAAATACTTCCGCTTTTCGACAGGCACTGGTGTCAAAGTCCATAGCTCGCCGTCGGTGAAGGGTCCATGGGCCGATATTGGCTCGGCGTTGCCAGATGGGTCGAAGATTACTCTTGACGGTGTGGACAGCAAGAATATCTGGGTAAGAAAACACCGAAACTGTCTAGGAAACAATACCAAGGTTAGAAATAACTAACGTGATTCATCTGATAGGCCCCTGATGTCCACTTCCAGAATGAACAGTACTATATGTACTACGTCCTGTCAAAGATTGGCACCCAGAACTCACAGATCGGTGTCGCAACATCCAAGAACATGGAACCTGGTACCTGGACAGATCACGGCAGCGTTGGTCTCCCTGCAAACGACAACTACAACCGCATCGATCCTGCCTGGATTAGCATCGGCAACAAGAACTACATGAACTTTGGCTCTTTCTGGGGCGATATCTACCAGGTCCAGATGGATACTCCGTTGAAAGTCGGCGGCGCAATTCCCTATCAAATCTCCTGGAACGCTACCCTCAACCACCGCGAGGAGGGCTCGTACGAGTTCAAGCACGGCGACTACTACTACCTTCTCTACTCTGCTGGTATTGCGGGCAAGTACACAAAGACCTTCCCAGCTAAGGGTGCCGAGTACCACATCCGGGTTTGTCGATCCAAGACCGGTCTTGGTGATTTTGTACGCGCCCCAATCTGCTCACCCGTTCCAGAATACACCAGTTCTAACGTTTATCCTACAGGTTGATGCCGACGGAAAGTCTTGCAAGGAGACCGGCGGCACCATGCTCCTCTCCAGCCACGGCCAGGTCTTTGGACCCGGCGGCCCTGGTGTTGTCAATGACAAGGATCTCGGTGTGGTCATGTACTACCACTACTACCCGCTCGATATCAAGGAGAGCACCACTGTCTCCGACAACGCGAACTACAGGTACGCGTGGAACGTTCTCGGTTGGAAGGACGGCTGGCCTTTCGTGAAGGCCAATTAATGCACATAATTATCATGGCCCACCAAGCCGATACATACGTTTTTTACATTCTTTTCTTTCTATTGTCAATGGTTGAGCTCCTATACTTTTGGAGGTGGAGGTATTGCACTCATTTATCGATACCCATGACATTTTGATGTCTGTCATGATGCGCTTCTTTTTGTATCTGGCAACTCTTAATTATATAATATATCCCTTATATCCATATTTGGCTCAATCGGCCGGTTGAATCTTTGCAAAATCTCACCCTGCTTTAATAATGTACAATCGTGGGATTTAAGACTGCCTACATTTCCACTCGTGGGTCTACCGTGGACATCTCGCAGTTTCATTTAGTGCCTCACATCCCCCAACTCCAAGGTTGAGTGCGCAAAGGGCAATATAGAAGCGACCCCGGTCAACTGTTAGGGCTATCCTCCCCAATCATATTCGTAGGCGCTCCAACATTGTTGTATGTCTCCACCGTGCCCACAATCCAACCGGCGACGCCGCACAGGAATGCTACCAGGCCCGCATACATAGTCAACCAAGAAGAATCGTGCCAGCCATCTACCTTGTAGCTAATGAGACATCTCTTTCTGGAAATTGACAAACAAGAAGGCTCTCCAGTATCTAAACAGCAAGAAGGAATTCTCTGTATAGACTGCAGGAGCCAGTGCTGGCTTGCAAAGCCTATGGCGAGGGCATCTGCCAATACCAGGGGTGACGGGACTACTCGTCGGACCTTGGCAGGTAGGGTGCACATAGTTGGGCTGAAAGTGAGTCCAGATAGACCATAACATTGAAGGTGACTAATGATGATGAGGGAATATATATTCCCAGAGATCCAAATAATGGTTCTCCACTAAGCTGGTGCAGGCATCCAGCAACTTACCTAGACAGAGCTTGTGATACTGAATTGTGTCAAAAAATGTATCTTTCATCCACATAATACCCCGATATTCATAGCTATTTCACCCAGTACCTAATCCAGGACCTATACCCACTAGAGTGGGAAAATGGGCATCGAACAGCCACAAAAATCAAACTTAAGCTTTACGGGAGTGGCCGAAGTAGATCATGTATTTGTTTTCACAATATTTGCCTAGATATGAAGTTGAATGTTATTGGAAAAGTCCCGTAAATATATCCGTAGACACTCGAGCCACAGTGACGTGCATCATCAATTGGCCACTTGCCGCACTGTGGCCACGTGCGAAATCCAATATAAAATATAAAAGAATCAAGAAGAACAGTGAATTCATTTAAGATACAAGTTCTCTGTGATTGGCTTGATTGTTAGGGACTGCGTTGCAACACATCTCCGAAAGCGAACAGCTATTACAGCTACAGCCATTGTGCATCTCAAACCTGGACAAGTTCAAAGTCAATTACTATCAATAACCTTCTATTCTAGGAAGAAAGAAAAAAGGGTTATAAAAAGGTGAAAAAGTGCAAAGCGTAAGGACGGACTCGGAGAAAACTTCCCCGGAGACTCAGAGCTGGCCTTTTCTGTACTCTCTGGATTGTCCGGGGTTCTCGACCTTTCCCTCTCACCTCTCACCTCTGTTCTTCTCTCCCACCTCGCTTCCTCACTTTCTTTTCAGGTGGCTCCTCTCTTTGAGCCCCTGTCTCTTTTTTTTTTTTTTTTTGATTCTCGGCGCTTTGTCAGTCCAAACCGCTATTGCATTTTCCTGAGCATCCTCGGCATTCTCCTGAACCCAAAGAAAATCTATATATCCTACTCAATTCCAAAAGAGGAAAGATATACTTTCGCTTGTGAGTTATTACCAAGTCATAGTCATGCCATTGATTGCACGCCGAGGTTTACGATGATCTGTCCTGATCTGCCTTGATCGGTCGTTATTGCATACTGACCCGGGCCCGTCTTGATTGCAGGATCTTGTGCATAGCCCATTTATCAACCTTGTCTCCACCCCCAATTTACCTTGTCGACCTTCATTATTCGTAATGGCTTCCGAAGCAACTACCTCTGCCAACAGCGGATCCCTCGCTGCCATGT